TATATGTATACAATATATACAATACACATATATTTACCTATAATCCATATATTCATTCCAGTTATTTTCAAGAGTACTTAGTAGACTCTTTGTGCAAACCGAAACATTTGTGACGTCGTCGGTTAAAGAGATGCCATGTTGTATATTTGATAGAAATTTTCTTCATCATGTAAATTGTGTAGCAAATATGCACCGACTCGCATTGCACTGTGTGGTGCACCACCACTCACCACGATTTAGCTATCGATCGATGGTTCACGTACATTCTACTTTTCCATCGATCAGCATCAAATACATCGAGATCTAAGTACTTTACTTAATGTGGAAAGTATTGTAATCTACCAATACGACGATGATTTCAGGTTAAGAACTCGAGCAGTGCGAACGATCAGTGAGCGAGGGTTCAGGGTATCAGTATCAAGAACGAACGAAAGTTTATTTTCGTGTAATACTTTTTTTTTAATAAATTACGTACAATACAATCGGTATCGGAGGGACGGGGGAGGGAGAGAGAGAAAGTGCTCCTTTATTCCCAGCCCCATATGCCGCCTGCTACCGTGGATAGCATGATCGTGTCCCTGTTCTCTCTCCTGACTCTGGTCACAGCATTGGCTTCTCCCTTGGCAAGTGCTACCCTCCTCGAGTGCTGTCGCTCTTTGCTCAGGCGCTTCTCAAGAGCTGCTTTCACTCTTTTCTTAATCACTTCAGGAGCTATCGTAGAAGCCGTAGTCGCACTGTACATACTTCTCGAATCATTGAACCCTTCCTCATTCTTCGAATCACTGAATCTTTCTCGAATCACCGCAGAGCCGCTAGACGATCCTCGCCGATCTAGCCTCGCATAGAATTTCGTATCTTCCTCAGAGTTCAACGAACTTGCATTTATATCGATGTTCTCGACACGGTCTTTCAACGACGACGACGACGGCGACGACGATTCAACAACGATGAGGTTCGCCATTTTCATTGGATTCAATTCATCCCTGACACAGTTCTCCACTTGAAGTTGCAAACAATTGATTTCGTCGTCGTCCATCGTGTGCTGCTCTACGTCGTCGTCGTCGTCGTCGTCGTCGTCGTCGTCGTCGTCGTCGTCGTCGATATCCTTTTCTCGTTGGTGTTGGATTTCGGTTTCAGTCTCGTCGTCATCGTCGTCGTTGTCTTCTTCAGTCGTTTCGAGCAGACCCATCTCCCTCAACAGATCCTTCTCCATCTGCTTCGTAAGACCACTGGCTTTAATCTCCACGTCGATACAGTCTTCTCTCCTAAAAACATAGTGCATATGAAAATCGATCCTGTCGTTATCATTCATATTTTTCATTCTTCTTTTTGTTTTTTGTTTTTTTTAGGTTCATTGGACTCGATACACACTCGTAGAAAATTTCTTAGGACGAGAAATCTCGATTTAGATTTCATTATCGCATACCGACGTAGCAAGTTTAATTCGCGTCGTGTAAATCGTGTCCAATGCTCGTTCGTCATCGTCGTCCTCGATTTATACTTACGAAACATCGTCGAACGTTGGATACAGTTCACTCTCGTAAGCGAAACGTCGTTTGAAGAAATCGCGCACACAATTCACGTCTCTCTCAAAGTACATTTTAGCGTCCGCGTGCTCAGTGGAAATCATCTGCGGGAAATCGATGAGAATCGGTCGGCCACTGTTCGTTATCATGACGTTGAATTCGTTCAAGTCTCCATGAATTACTCCATGGTTTCCCAGCTTCACAATCAGATTCATCAGTTCGTCGTACAGCGACTCGACGTCCTCCACTTCGTACACGCCGCATCTGTAATCCGCCGCAGCACATAAAGATTCAGTGATTCGACAACTGATTCATCAACCATTACCACGAATACGAAACAAATATATCACTACTACTACTACTACTACTACTACTACTACTACTACTATTACTACTACTACTACTACTACTGCTACTACTACTGAGATTACATCGTCACATGGTTACCACGACTCGAGAGACGCACACTCAAATACTCACAGAGGTCCACCTTCGATCAACTCCATGACGACGCAATGTCTGTTGAGATCGATCGGTTTTGGAACAGGAAATCCTCTGTCGAAAAGTGCCTTCATATACGCAAACTCTCTCGTTGCCGATATCCTCGACAGGTAGAGCCAGGACGCGGACTTCCTGTGTCGATGATAATCTCTTTTGCCTTTAATATTCCTGAAACAAGTCCTTCCCAATCTGTGCAGCTTCAGACACGTCGGAGCATTTCCTTCTTCGTCAGCGACCACGTAGATGTTCGACTCTTTCCCCACGCCAATTTGATTGCCCAAAGATGCGACGGTTCCTCTTTGCGCCAGCACTTTCAGAGCCAAGTAATCGTAGCCCGCGTTCGTCAATCGATAACCATCGTCTGTAACAGAGAACAGTAGAATAGGAAAGGTAAAGTAAACGGATCGGGCAAAGTGTCGAATCGATATCGGTGCCGAGAGGTTTAACTAATTCGCATTTACAACGGTCGACGACAAGCCTCACATAACCAAAAAATCTACTAACAATGTTTCCCACGTTCGTAACTAAGAAGTCTGTGCTTGCACAGTTCCTTCATCAGTTTGTGAACACCTCCGTAACGTAAATTCGCTATTCGAGCAGCTAAAGATGCAGGAACAAGCTCGTGATTCTTCGTACCCATCTCGATCTACAATTATCACGTATTACTATTATTACTTTACCGAACGACAGATGGATTTAATTTCAAACAACAAATACTGCTCGTCTATCTACTCACTGCTGTCAAAACTCGAAAATCGTCTCGAGTCAAATATCGTAGAATCGTCACATTCAATTTCCCCATGCTTGATCATGCAGGTTATGTTCCAGCAGAAGTGTTCTCTCACTCGCTCTCACTCTCTGCGCTGTCGCGGCTGTCGCGTACGTCGCGTACTCGTGCACTGCAGTAGCATGCGCGGCATGGATGGGCATGCGTCGGCGACGGCGCGGCAGCAACAGACACATAACCTGATCTGTGACAAGACGGTGGACGCCGGAATCTCTCGCTCGTGTACATTACACACGTGACGTCCGTCGTATCTAACTGAACGTGCCGGGGACACGATGACTTTGCCACGAATACGTGACACGATAAATCGTAAATAGCACAGCGTCTCTCGTTAACGCGTAGTACGAACGCGTCTACGTATTACGGTCATCTAATTATTTCTAACATTATCGATCGCAACAACGCGACAGGCACGGACACACAGGCAAGGAGTCGAGGTTAAACGGGTGGTAACGGGGGCGATTTTACGACATCGTCGAACGACGACAATGACGTCGCGATGGTGTCAACGATTATTCGGCCGCCGCTGTTCCGCCAGTGAATTATTCATGTTTTACATACGATCTAGTCAAAAGACGGGCGTGGTTAATCGTTCATATCTTCACGACGTACACACCAAGTCTCGTTCGTCGTACGACAACGAGAGGACGAGGAGACGACACAACGACGCACGCGAAAAAGCAGTGGTGCAGGAGACACGAAAGCCCGTGTGTGTCACTGGAAAAACTGTCGTTTGCAACGAAACGGACGAATTCGACGAACGACCAAAACCACCAAAAATGAAGTTTGCCGCGAGATTGGTAGACAATTGTCCAGCAAGTATGAAACCGTACTTAAAACTGGCAAGAATAGACAAACCTATAGGTAAGCAACACGCGATAGGGAGAGAGAGAGAGGAGACAGACGAGACGAGAACGAAACGCGTACGAACGCAAATCGCAATGGACAACGACCAGAACAACAACGCGTCACACGTGTATACGGTGGTTGCAGGATCCTGGTTACTATTCTGGCCTTGCGGGTGGAGCATAGCCATGGCAGCACCACCGGGTGCCTTGCCGGACCTTCAACTTTTAGCGCTGTTCGGAACGGGTTCGTTCCTGATGCGTGGCGCAGGGTGTACCATGAACGACATATCCGATCAAGACATCGACAAAACGGTACGTTACAACCAACCGATGGCGTACGATCGGGTCGCGTACATCGTAGCCAGTCGGTAGTCCGCGGATCAGCACGGGTCATCTCCAGGGAGCAAAGTATGTTCACCGAAGAACTGTTTTGTAACGCTAGGTAGCCAGAACGAGGGACAGACCATTGGTCACCGGAGAAATTTCACCTGTACAGTCATTAATTTTCCTCGGAAGCCAATTGACTTTGGCGTTGCTCGTATTGTTACAACTAAACGTTTATAGTATCGTATTGGGCGCGAGTTCACTAGGTAGTATCTTTAAACCACAGACGAAAGCACGTCACGCGTACGAAACAGTATTTTGCTCAATTCTGATCGACGAACGATCGGTCGGCTCTCGCCGAGAGAGCTAAAAAAACGTCGAATCACAATCGAACAAATGCTGCGCGTCCGAAACCGAAACGGAATCGGTCGTCGTGATCGACACTCGAATCATACATTTTCTTCCGTCGTCTGTACACACAGTGATAGTGACGTTATACCCTCTGATGAAAAGAGTCACGTACTGGCCCCAATTGATCCTCGGAATGTGTTTCAATTGGGGCGCACTTCTGGGTTGGTCCGCCGTGCACGGGTCATGCGACTGGTCCATCTGCTTGCCCCTTTACACCGCTGGAGTCAGTTGGACGCTCGTGTACGACACTATATACGCGCACCAGGTAAGTCGAACGAAACCGTCCCGAAGTCGGTCGCGTCGCGACGGACGGAAACGAACAATTCGCGACCGACGATTTTATCTCGTGCGACACTGTACACAGGACAAAGTGGACGACGCCATAGTGGGCGTAAAGTCGACGGCTTTGAAGTTCGGGGACAGGACTAAACGTTACTTGTCCGGATTCAGCACAATCACGACGACGGGATTAATCGCATCGGGTGTCCTAGCCGCACAAACTTGGCCGTATTACACAGCCGTGGGTCTGGTCGCCGGTCATCTGGCCAATCAGGTAGTACAGACGACGACGACGACGACGACGACGACGAAGACGACGACGAAGACGTTCAGACACGAGTCGAATCTGAGACGTACCAGTACTAGTAGCGAGTGTATCCGGTCGATCGATCGATCGATCGAATACACGGTGCGTCGCACGAACGTAATCATATTCATTTTCAGATTTATACTTTGAACACGGACGATCCAGCAGACTGTGCCGAGAAGTTCAAATCGAACAAAACGATCGGTGCGATTCTGTTCGCGGGAATCGTCCTAGGTAACCTCGTAAAACAGCCGTCTGCCAGCAAGAAGAAGGAAAACGAAATCGCCGTCGCGCTGCTGGAAGGAACCTCTACCTCTGCCGCGTAAGAGAAGAATCATCGATATCTCTCTCTCTCTCACGGCGCGAACGACCGTGAAACACTGGCAGAACGCGTTCAACGACGTCCGACTGGCTGGTTCCAGTACATTCAACAACGACGGCACGAATCAGACGTTTCACCACGTTTTACCGTCGCGTGCCACGACGAGCGATGGATTTAATTTCCACCAACGATCGTCATCGTCAGTAGTAGATGATAGGGACAAGGGGAAGGGGGAGCCAATAAGTTTAAGTACGAACCGTGTACCAAAGACAACACTATTGTAAACGACGTACAACGCGTCGACCAATGTTCAGCAGAACCTAATACACACGAGTGATCGAAATCAGAGACAAAGAGGGAGTACAAAGTCATTCCCCCATCGTTTCCCCCTCGTCGAGAGTCGAGACGCTCGAGACTCGTAATCGAAAATCGCTCGTAATTCGCGAACGAAAGTTCATCATCGCTGCGAATCGTAGAACTCGGCGGTACAATCAGAATCTCGTACGAAGAAGGTGTTTGCATTTCCGGACGAATCGTCAACGAACGAACGGTGGACGAAGCATCCACGGCAACGTGCTCGCAGGACACTCAGCAATCGCGCAGTCGGAATCGTGGAATCGAGTCGACGGCGTCTCGACTTCTCGCGCTTTCCTTCGTTTCTCCGCGCCTTCAGTCGTTCGTACGTGGGCACAAGTCTGAACGTACGACTGCTTCGGTGACCGCGATTTCAGTCAGACGACGCACACGCGTAGTCCGAGAGCCGTGAAAAAGAAAGCATCGACTCGTGGCCTACGCGAATCGAGAGCGAGAATCACGGATCCCTGACGATCCGCGGCGCGTTCACGAGAGAGAGGAAAACAGACCTCGCGAGCGATCTCATCGGATGGATCGATCCAGCCACTCGTGAGTCGGCACAGTGGATCCGGTCGTAGTGGAGAACGCATCGTATCGTAAAGAGTGGAAGAGCGAACGGTGCTGGAAGCGCGAGAGTCGCGCCGGACGAACCGTGACCGTTCGGACACCGGTGTTCGGGAAGCGCACGGACGCGCACGACGCGACCGGTCGCGAAGCCGTCTCGGGAACGGTCTCAGGCGGTGTCGACGGTCAGCGGCGGAACAGGGTACGCGCGGGAGGGCGGACGTGGGGACCGGCGCGTTCTTGGGACGTCGCCTCTACTCGTCTCTTCGTGGCTATCTCAATCCGACGGTCACTAGTCATACGAAGGACACGAGAAACTCTACATTCCGGAAACCGTATCGCGAAGAGAGAGAGAGACACGAGAGAGAACGGTAGAAACGAGCGCGTTTAAAACGAACGGTACCAAGACTAGGGAAGAAAAGATCGACACGAGACGAGTAGGGGAAGGTGTCCGGTCACTCGGTGTCTCTCGGTACTACTTTTTTTTTTTTTTTTTTTTTTTTTTCGTGGGTACCGACGCCAGACACGGTGATCGGGTACACGCGCAGGGGTTTCGGAATTCATCTCGCAAGGTTCGCTTCCCCTGTTTTTTGCCCGTATCTCGAGTCCCAGTTTTGCGAATGCGCACGAGCACGCACGAGGGGAAGACTAGTGGGGATCGAAAGACGGGCAAAAAACAGTGGAAGCGAGCCGGGAGGGAAAAACGACGCGTATTCTGGTGGAAATTCTGCAATCGGGACGTTGAGCGGACGGTGGGGGAGGTGGGGAGTTCGACGGGGCGTTTCTGGTGGGCAATCGTCCGTCTGTGGTCCGGACTCTTGGGAGCGAGGGCGATCGGGGACACGGGCGAGAACGCGAGACGGAGGCGGGGATGGTACGGGGAGGGGTACAGTCGGTGGACGTTAGGAGTGTGAGGATGGGGAGGTCGAGGACGGAGGGCGATTCGGGGTGGACGCTTCGGTCGGATGTCGGAGATGGGTGGGGAAAGGGTGGGAACGAGAAAGGGGAAGGGGGAGAGGGTGAGCAGTGGTGGAAGGAAGGAGAAGAAAGAAGAAGAAAAGGAGGGGAAGAAGGAAGGGAAAAAAAGGGAAGGAAAAAGAAGAGAGGAAAAAAAGAAAGGGAAAGAGAAGGGGAAAAAAGAAGGGAAAAGAAGGGGGGGAAAAAGGGAAAAGAAATGGGAAAAGAAAGGGAAGGAAAAAGAAGGGGAAAAAAGGGAAGGAAAAAAAAGAAGGGAAAAGGAGAGGGGAAAAAAGAAGGGAAGGAAAAGAAAGGAGGAAAAGAAGGGAAGGAAAAAAGAAGGAAGGAAAAGAAGGAAGGAAAAGAAGGAAGGAAAAGAGGGGAAGGGAAAGAAGGGAAGGAAAAAAAAAGGGGAGGGAAAGAAAAAAAGGGAAGAAAAAGAAGGGAAAAGAAAGGAGGGGAAGAAAGGAGAAGGAAAAAGAAGGAGAGTGGAAAGGAAAGGAGTGGAGGGGAAGAGGGAGTGGGGGTTTGCGAGGGTGTGGGAGTGGAGAAGTGAGCGTGAGATGGCGTGAGAGGGTGTGGGGGATGGTGGGAGTGTGGGAGAAGGTGTGGGTGAGTGAGAGAGGGTGTGGGAGAGGCAGTGGGAGTGGTGGAGGGTGTGTGACAGTGGGAGGGTGTGTGAGAGGAGGTGTGAGAGTGGAAGATGGTGTGGGAGAGTGATAGTGTGTGGAGATGGATGGGAGTGTTTGAGGGAGAGGGATAGTGTGAAAGGGTGTGGGAGACGAGGTGGGGGTGTGAGAGGGTGTGGCAGTGGACGTGGGGGAGGGTGAGATGGTGTGGGAGTGTGTGAGAGGGTGTGGGAGTGTGTGGGAGGGTGTGAGTGTGTGTGAGAGGGAAATGGAGTGGTAGAGGGCGTGGCAGAGGGAGATGGAGGTGTAGATAGAGTGGGAGAGCGATTGGGAGCGTGAGAGGTGGTGGTGGATGGCGTGGGAGGGTGCGAGTGTGTGGAGATGGTTTGAGAGGGTGTGGGAGGGTGTGGGAGAGAGTGAGAGGGCGTGGGAGAGAGTGAGAGAGGGCCTGGGAGAGTGAGAGAGGCCGTGGGAGAGTGTGTGAGGTCAAGCGAGGTTATTCTAGCTCTGCGGGCCGGCGAAGCCGGGCCGCAGAGCGCCAGGTTAGGTCAGGAAGTTAGGTTAGGTCAGGAAGTTAGGTTAGGTCAGGAAGTTAGGTTAGGTCAGGAAGTTAGGTTAGGTCAGGAAGTTAGGTTAGGTCAGGAAGTTAGGTTAGGTTAGGTTAGGTTAGGTTAGGTTAGGTTAGGTTAGGTTAA